GCGTTTGTAGCTATTGTCCTAACTGTTAATTAACTGTGTCAACAAGATTGTAGAAAAAATGTTTTTAAAGCCTCTTAAGAGGGCAAACACATTTTAAGCACCTCTAAGTACTTTCGGAATACCCAAGGATTTAAATTGACAATGATAAACAATCACTAATTATAGTCATTCCTGACTGGTTCTCACCAAGGATCTGTATTAGATAACACTTGTGAACCTAGTTTCAACCACAGTGTATATTTAAGGAAGATTAAGTTCAATTTAATTCAAATCTGCTTTTATCGCGTTTCCTATAATGTGTGTCAAGTGATGAGACTGATTATTCTCAAACACGCTGTCTTTCAGACTGGCCCTTCCCGGGTTAGCCAAAAATGGTAGGACTTGACTCTGCTCTAAAACTTGTAACCACAGGAATACAACTTTATCACACATTGTACCAAAACCACCTGTGATGTCCCATGACAGGGATCGAAGTATCGTATCATCTTTGTACGCCTGGCACGCAGCACAATGCTCATCACAAAGAAGACCCTAATACATGTCCACTGGGCAATGGAGTCGCAGAAACAACACGGCCTCCATGATGGATTGTTCCAGAAGATGAAAGGAGAGGAATTAGTGTCACCAGCTTTTAAAGCAAGACTCGCTCTCTTTCATTGAACATTTGAGCCGAGCAAACACTGAGTTAAGCTTTTCAAGTGTTTCTTCTTACTGGAGCCTCAGGACAAGCTCTGAGGAAGGTCTCTCAATGACCCATTTTACAAATGCAGACTAGGACAATGGGACTGTGAAGGGTGGGAGGAAAAAGAAATCCCAGGTCCCTCGGGCTCCAGGCCAGCCCCTCTCAAGGGCTGGGTACCTTACCCTCCGTTCAAGTCCAGCCTGGGTCTAAGCACTTCTGACAACTTAAGAAAGCAAAAGACTCCAGAAGGAGCACGGTTACCCAGTAGGAGGAAGAGGCTGGACAGGGAGAGGAGCTCTCTGCACAGATACACAAAGTATTGCTTCATTTTCTCTCCTTTGTGTCGTCAAAACAATGAGGACACGCAGAACGAACAGCCTTGAACAAGCCACAGGCACTCCACTCACCATCAAAAAAATAAATAAATAAAATAAAGACCTTCTTGCCATTGTGATCTTTGAGCAAAGTAGCTGAGTAGGAAATAAATACATCAAGGTATCCAATGTGTTGTTGTTTTGTTATTTAAATCATTGCTTACTCTTAGCATCAAGTAGGTTTTGAAAGGAGAACAGGAAAATGAAGTCAGATTGTATGAGCAATGTTTTAATATAAGCAACAGCGGGGGAAAAATCACAGTTCAAGAAAGTGAGTCTCAAATTTCAGAGGGCATGAAAGCTCCAGAGGAGATCCTTAAAAACAGATTCCAGAGTCACACGGAGTCACATTCCCAGAGAGCAGGCTTGTGTGAGGGAAGCCCAGACCTCGTAGTTTCACTCCCAGTGTCCAGGCACCCTACCCATTCATTGCTCCGTTTACTGAGCAGCTACCGTGTCAGATGGGGGATCCAGAAGGCGGGGATACCGCAGTAAGCGACGTACTCAGAACCCCTGCAGTCAGAGTGGGGAGACAGGCCATAACCAGAGGCATCTACGGACATTGTGCCACAGAGTGAGAAGGGTTCGATGAGGAATAAAGTAGAGAGAGGGGAATAAGGGGCATCGCCTCCTTGTACCGGGGGTTGTGGGAAGCTTTTCTAACACTGGAACAAAGCAGGTTTCTACGCAGAATTCTAGGGAAAATGCATGCCGCACAGAGGGGACAGCAAATGAGAAGACACTTGGAATGCTGGTGCTGAGTCAAAGAGCACTTGCTATGTACTGGATGCTTCACAGCAGTGATCTGATTTCAACAGCACAGCGACTCCGCACCGCTAAGCACTGTGTCTCCCACTCACCCCATGACCGCACGGGGGATCTGGCCACAGGCCCAGCAAAGGGTGGAGCTGAAGGATGGCCCAGGTGTCCAACGGAATTCCCCCAAGCACAACGAGTTAGGGGTGTCCACCGTGGGGGACAGGTCCATCCTGAGAAGTGGTGAATATTCAAAGGAGTAAATAAAGCATGATTTAATTATAAGCGTACCTGCCTAAATGATACTTAAGAGTTTAATGATTTGGGTAAGTATAGTGGCATCAGAAGTAAAACAGTATATAGAATTACAGAGATAGAAAGGACTTAACTGTATAAAAAAACTGCACGAGAATATAAAATGAGAGGGGAAATATGCCAAAATGTGAACTGTGTTGTTGCCTCTAAACGTACATTTAATCCTTCACTTTTTCATACTTCCCAGTGTGTCTATTGCAATAAGCAGGTATTTGTGCGATCACCAGGGAGGAAAATGAAAAATATTGTGAAGATGTGCATTGCTCATGCTTGGAATTTTGACTGTGACCCCATCTGCAGGTAAGAGTGACGGCCCCAACTCCCATTAAGGCCATTCCTGCACTTGTCCCCTCAGGGAGGCCCTGAGCCCGAGTCAGCCGGGCGTCCCCGGAGCCAGGGTCCGGGTGCTGCTCCCTGGCTGCTGAGGGAGGGACTCGGGGGGGAAGCCTGTGCTGCCTCCATCCATCACGTGGGCAGCCAACGGGGTCACCTTTTACAGGCGGTTTGAGCGCTCCACTGGCGAACCTTCCGGCATGTCACTGCTATAAATTCTCCTGGCTCTTATTAATAAACCATAACGGTAATTCCCAGAATGATGGCCTATTATCCTAAGTCGCAGAATGACAGCACAATCAAAATCAGAATGAATTATAGGCCTGAAGACACGGTGGAGAGGTGGGCAAGTTTAACTGGCTTCCAGAGGAGCAGCACCGGCCCATGCAGCAAATCAAAGCAGTAATATTCAAGGCAATTGTTTACACGGCCAGAAGAAGCAGCATGGTAAGCTTATACAGCAAATGCTTCCCCAGAAATGGATGATGCACCAAAGAAGTGAGGGGGGCATGTGGTGGGCTGCGAACTGACCCCCAGCCAGCCACACTGGGCTTGTTTTCTGTGTTGTGTTTACTTCCTTCTCCTCCCAAAGTGTTTTTTGTTTTTTTAATTTTGCTCTGTGTCTGAGTTCTAGGTTGACAGTTCTACACTATTTCTTCTTTCACCAGGTAAAAACCATTCAACACATTTGACCAAGACATGACTAAGCCATTTGAAGGTGAAAGAGAAGTCTTTGAAGGCCGAAATACAAACGCCTCGGAGTCATCTCTAACAGAGAGCCAGGATGACTGGGATGCGCCCAAGTGGCTTTGTACTTGGTCTCCCACCGACATGAGACTTGCTGACTTCGGAAGTCCTTGACGGGGACTTGGCAGAGAGGACTCTGAAGCCACACGGTGGACTTCTTCCCCTGCAGAGGCCGAAGCCACCCACTGTGATGACTTATCTGCGACTCCGCCAAGCAAACTTAGAGATCCGTCTAATTCCACACAGGGGGCGATTCCCACCACACCACCTGTCATATTCTTACTGTGGGGCGAGCCTCCACCACAGTGGCCCCCAAATTCCGGCAATCCATCTTTTATTAGGTTCCTAACTCTAAGAAAAGGCAGTGGGTCTTAACCCTAAAAATATGGGGAGTTTTAATAAAAAACATCCATGGCTGGGATCCACCTCCACGATTTAATTGTTCTCTAGACCCTTGCTACTTGGAATGTCGCCCTCAAGCCAGCAGCGACAGCATCACCGGACAGATTGTCATGCAGACAGAATGTCAGACCCCACTTGGAAACTAATTCCTCAGAATCTATGTCAACAAGATCCCCAGATAATTCTAATGCACAGTAGAGTTTAAGAAGCACTGGTCTAGGGTAGAGCCAGGAATTTCTTTTTTTATATTTCCCCAAGTTATTCTAACGTTCAGCCAAGACTAAGAGCTCCCCACTTAAATTCTACCATTGGCCTTTTCTTTTCCTTGCTGACCACAGCCAAGCTCAGGGCCTGAGGCATCGGACCAGCTGATCCAAGCTTCGTCCCTCATAAGAGGGCCTGTTGTTAACTGTGGAAAATTCCCTCCATCCCACTCCTGCTTCCCTGAGGTTTACCCCAGACAACCACGTCTAGTGGTCTGCCCACACCCAACCCCAGGAATTTTATATCGCTCTCCTTATCCTGTTGCTGACCGTCTTCCTACCTTGCTTCTACCTTGCTTATAGCAGTTCGTCCCTCCCCATCAGCTGCCCTCTCCCCACCACCTTTGTTCCTTGGCAACTTCCAGTACAAGTGTCCCCACAATAAGAAGTACCAAATGGAACAAGGAAGGGCTTCTCTTTCTCTCGTCTTCAAGCACCATCTCCTCTTGCCACACGTGGCTTTCTACATGGCACATGTGTGAGTCACGTTAATGGCATGAAGGCAGAGAAAAGGAGGAGGACGGAACAAGCGGAGAGCTACAGGAGAGGCGTCACCTGACATCCGAAGGTAAAAGGAACAGCAGTTTCAAGCAATGACACTAAGTCCACGTGAGGCAAGTAGGACAAATACTGCACCTAATATCAGGAGATTCCATAAGTGACTCAAATGATCAAAGGCAACTAAAGGTCCAACACCAAATATTATCCAGTTTCAAACTGCAGCCCCAGTGAGAGAACACAGCCAGATCCCCTACATGGTCACTGTGGTTCAGAGCCAAGAAGCAGCCTGAGCCTAGGTCCAGGCGCATCTTCGCTTCACCGCATGTGCTCAAGAAAAATGCGACAATGTTAGAATGAAAACTAGACAGGTTTATACACCTGAGACACTCTGCTTACTCCAGGTTGGTTATGAAGGCCACATGGCAGTACATGCTCCCTGGTGGCCAGTCACAAATACACTCAGACACTGGTGGACAGCGCAAAATGCTTCGCCGTTCTGTCGTTTTTCACTTGGTACCTGGAGAGTCAAAGGCAGCCTCTCTCAGGCATCTGCTGGCCTCATCACCTGTCTCCTCTGCTCTCCGGTTCCTCTCCCTCCTCCCTCACCAGCCCCCAGCATCATCTTACTGGTTTTGAAGGGGCCACCGCTGAGAAGGCCGCCATTCCTGCTCTCACCCTGGGAGGGCACCTCGCAGCTCTCCGCACCCTCCATCTCTCCTCTGACCTTCAACAAGAAGCACCTGTAAAATAAAATGATACGTTTCATAAGAAATGGCATCTCAAGACATAACTTGAATGCATTATTACAGCAAAGACCCTCTTTGCACGTTCCCACATAAAAAAAGACTTCTCTGTCTTTGACCACACTTCCTGTTCTTGCATACCTGTATTCTTTCTCTCTCTCTGTGCATCGGTCAGTATAAACTGGGTGTTACTCCAGTAACACACAACCCCACCTCAGTGGCTGTAAAATAACATAGTTTTCTCTCTCACTGACTCCATAGTCTGCAGTGTGCCAGCAGGGGCTCTGTTCCTCACAGCTACTGTGGGGCCCCGGCAGGCCCCCAAGCCAAGAAGAGAAAGATTTCTGCAGATCACGCATGTCCTTCAAACAAGCTACGTCACCCCTGCTGGTCATTCCTTGCTCAGAACTAGTCAGAGGCTCTGTCCAACCACAAAGCAGCCACGAGTGCAGTCCTGCCATGTGTGCAGGAGGAGGACCAAGAATATTGCTTTGAAATGCCTTATTTACTACCCTTGCACCCTAAGTTCAAACTCCCAGGGGGAAGAACACAACCTGCTCCAACTGACCGCACTGTCTGAGCTCACTGGCCAGGCAGAAAGAGGAACCTGTGCACTTCGTGTGTGTCTGGGAACATGGGAAACAATGGACACGGATGAAAAAGGCAATGCAAGGGTCACGAGCCAAAGAAACAAACCGTAAGATATGAAAACAGGTCCCTTGGGTGTGGATGAGTTGGAGACAGGACTGGTGGGTTAAAAAGCACACAAAACAAAGCGCTAGGGCTTGCAGGGATGAAAACGGTGATAAGCAAAGAAGCTAATACCCATTACCTGAACTCAGTTTCCAAACATTCATGGGAATTTTCCCACCATGTAGCTACTGACACACCTGCAAGGTAGAAAAGCTTCTCAATCAGAGGTAAGCCATGATGGGGGCTGAACTAACAAGAGCACACTCAGATTCTTCTGCTGCTCCACTTATAATTTATGTACTAGTCAGACACAATTTTCATTTAATCAAGAGCTATCTTGTCCAACCTTTCAGCTGCAAGTAACTTTGTACAAGATGAAAATAACCTAATCCATCATGATGATAGAAAATTTTCTACTTCTTCCAGGCCCTCACTGCCAACAAAATGCCAGGAATCTTGCTGCTTTGGATGGTTTATTAAAACGCAGCAGACCCAAACTGCATTAGGGCTGTGTAATAGCACGCCCTGCCCACCAGCTAATGCTTGCCAGATGTGCGAGCTCAGCCGCATCTGCAAGCACCTGCTTAGAGGAGTGGGCCTCCAGAGCAGATCAGGGAGAATGCAACTACTGGCTTTATGTGCCCTCCAGTTGATGCATGCAGGGGCAAAGGGTTAAATTAAAATGGGGAAGGGGGTTGCCATGCTGAGCTGGCAAGTGTTTCAATAAAGTGATTTTCCACTAGCTTTTTGCAAGCATATTCCCTGGACTTCTGCACCCATATATTTTTGAGGCTGAACACCAAAGTTCTAATCCCCACCACAATGATCTTGGGTAGTAACGTCCTTAACTTCCCTGAGCTCTGGATTTCTAACTTGTAAAATAGGGACAATTACACTCACTTGCAGGCTGCTGTGAGGATGAAACAAGATGAAATATGAGGAACTGCTTTGCACAGTAAGAGTGACATAGTAATTTCTCAATAAATGTCCCATCCACATATGCATTTAACATGTAGGTAGGGCCAGAAAACCTGGATCTCTCTTCCACACTCAAACCATGTTACCCTCTACACACACGCCTATTCCTCCCCTCTCCATCCTTCCCTGCCTCCTGCTCCCCCGCCTGTCTTTGTCTGGGACTGTACTATAATGCAGAATTGGCAGAAGGGACACGAGGAGCACTCTGCCCAAGCCAGTGCATTTCTCTGAAGGGAAAAGTTCAGAAACAGGCAGGCAGAGTAATGGAAGCCCCAGCTCTCTCTGCCCCCTAAAGCATAAGGCAGTGCTGGCATGACCCGCTGGGTCTATGCACCTACCCCTAAGCAATATAGTACTTAGTCTGATATGTGTTTAAACTTTATACAAAAACTTATACATTCCCACATGGCTTGCATTTTGTACTCAGGATTGTATTTTTGAGATTCATTGCTGTTGGTGCATGAGGCTGTGATTTACTCACGTTCACTACCGTATAATATTCTACTGTGTGGCTATACCACCATTTATACTACCACGGACAGGCATCTGTGCTGTTGCCGGTATCCTCACTATTACAGACAGCACCACCATGAGTGTTCTCAGGCTGGTATACATGATCCAAAGACCTTCCGAGGCAGGAGGATAGGAGAACACTGCTGGGTCACAGGTCTATGGTCCCCAATTATTTTTCCAAAGAGTTTGTTCCAGTTTACCCTCTGATTGCCCAGTTCCTGGCAAAAACATTGCAAACTACCTTGGAGGATGTTACTCTTGCAAGTAGAGGTTGCTGGAGTTTCAGAACACTGGCCGAATCAGTTCCCACACATGCCACCTGGAAGTTCACGGTCACAAACATTCCTCCAGGGGAGGGAGAGGTTTGGTCGTGTACAGAATTTTGAACAAAGAGAGTCTTGAGATGAGTGGTTTTGCGGCCCCCTGGCTCGAGGGATGAAACCTGCCCAGGATTAACATGTACTGTCCAGCTCAAGAACAGAACAGTCTGTAGCTGCTGCTGTTTTTCCCATGGGGGTGGTGGAAACTGGCACAAGACTACTTCCAAACCACCCTTCACCAACAGACTCCAAGGGCTAGACTGATGTCTCTGAGGACAAGCAGCATACTTTTCTCTCTCATTTATATCTGTAACGTTCAGTATGGTGTTTGCACATCACAGGTGCTCAATGAAACTTCATATCATGGAATTAAGAGTTAATCATTTTGGCAGATACTGCTGTGTATTATTGAAATCTGTCTCTTCCACCTCCTGGGTGCGATGCTAGACACCATTTCCCAGCTTTACTCACAGTGGCTGTGACCATGTGACTGATTCTGACCAATCCAATGTGAGCAGAGGGGATACCCACCACCTCCTGTCCTGGTCTACAGAAACCACCCACAGCATCCTCCACACCCTCTCTTCTTCTGGCTGGCAGCTGGATGCTTTCCCCCCACACAGTCTTCACCTGGGCTCACATCAGGGAAGGTGGCTATGGCATCTTTTTCAAATCAACCAAGGAAATAAACATGTTTTCTCTGTAAAGCAAACAAAGCTGTGTAACAGCCCCTTTGTGTGTTTTTCATGAGACGGAGAGAGCAGATGAGCACGTTCATGACTCAGAGCCTGAGGTGACTCGCACTCAGCTGCCCAGGCTAGCTGCCAGGCTGGCTCTGAATAAAGTCGGATTTCTAATTACTAGGCCTTTTGATACCTCTTAATGTACACCAACAGGATGCATAATGAATGGTGGTGTTGAAATTCAACAAGGAAGTAACAAGGTATATTAATTACCTATCGCAGCATAACAAATTACCCCAGATTTCAGTGGATTAAAACAAAAACACTTATTATCTCGCATTATTTCTGTGAGTCAGGAATCTGGGCACAGTTTAGCTGAGTCCTCTGGCTCAAGACGTCTCATAGACTGTGACCGAGCTGGTGGCTGGGGCTGCTGTCATTTTCAGGCTCTGCTGGGGAAATCCACATTTCAGCTCACTCTGTGGTTACTGACAGGATTCAGTTTTTCATGGGCTATTGGACTAAGGGCCTCATGCAGCTTCTCACCAGCTGTTGGCTGCAGGCTGCCGTGTAGGGAGAGTGTGAAGGCTCCCTCAGAGCATGGTGGAAGCTTCATCAGTGAGCAAGTGAGAAAAGAGGGAGATGGAAGAGGGGTGGGGAGACAGGGAGGGAGCGAGTAAGCAAAGGAGAAGTCACAACCTGATCTTGGAAGCAACATCTCATTTCTTTCTTTATTAGAAGGAGGTGACTAGGTCCAGCCTTAGAAGCTACCTTCCACACAAAGAAATTAAAGATCACAATTTTGCCAATTCGCTCCTCGATTTTTCTGAACCTAACCTCTAAATTTCAATTATCTAGTCAAAAGTCTTAATAGCTCTTCAAGCTCTCCTCAACATTTCAGAAGCCAATGTCAAAGTGAAAAAACTATAATGAAAATTATATCCAATTTGCTTCTTCCTTAACTGGGAATAAAACTATCCACTTCTGCAATGGGATACTTTGGAAAAAGAATGGCAAGGGGCCTATTTTCCTCTCTTATGTCAACACTTAGAAATAAAACTCAAAATTTACGCCAATTATCTGGTTGATTTTTAAGTCAAAATGCAGAAATTCCAAACACAAAAGCAGGCCTGCCTATTTTAATGCTAATAATTAAATTTACATCTGCCTTTTAAAATTGTGTCTCTCAACCAAGTACTATGAACTATGTAATTTGTGCATGTACTTGTTGACAAATCATGCTTCTCTAACGGGCAGTAAATTACACAGTGTTTCATTTACTAGATAGAAAGGATTTTAAAATTCTTAAATTCAATTTTTATAACACGTAAAACGACAAAATGGGTGTTTTCTTTCAATCCCTACAAGATGAGGAGAGGTAAGAGACCGTATGTTCCCAGAAGGCCTAGGTGCAGGCTTTCGGGAAGCCTCTCTCTGCCTTGCACACCACACCCTCCTCTCCTTTCCAACCCATGTGACTGCGGACGAATCAGACCTTTTGGAAAAGACCCACCATACACTGTTTCCACGTCTCATGAGAGGCACAGATTTGGAAATATCAGTCCCCGGCAGCCCACACATTTTAATGAGCCGTGGCCAACTGCACTGACGGAACCCTTCAGCCACGTCGAGTGTGCTGCCACAGCTGGCCCAGGGCGGCAGAAGCTGCCTCCTCCCCGGGACACCTCCCCGTGTCTAGTCACAACCGCATGAGCCCCAAACGCGGAGCACATGTTCCCAGCTGCTCTCAGAGGCCCGGGGAAACTGGGCTCGCGGAGCGCCGGGAGCCATGGCAGTGTAGCGGGCGCTG